TCAAAAGTCATGGAAATGTATTGGTAAAAATGTGTACGAACCCTGCATGAGGGAGCTGATTGGGGAAGACCTAGGCATAAGAGTGAATTCCCCAAGTGGAGTAAAAGGAACACGCTGGCTACCACATGTGTCTAGATCTTTGGAGACACTGTTAAAACTGGAGAGAGAGGAGGTTATCTTCAGGACCCAGGACAGTTTACTGCAGTCTATGTGCACATGGACCACTTGGCCAGTGCATCAGCAAACACAGACATTGCTGGAAGGGCCAAAAAGGTAACTACAGTATTTGTTGAAATGTAATTATTTTTATTTATTGTTGTTTATCATTATTGAGTGCAATTTAACTTTTGGTTAAGCAAGTTTTCTCTTTGGTGCTGTATTTCAGATCAAGAAGACTATGGAGGATGGAACTTTTGTAGCCTTCTGCCACTTTCTTGCTGATGTTTTTTTCTGTGATCAGTCAGTTTAGTTTACTTTTGCAAAGAAATGAAGTCATTCTACCCCAGGTAATACTATGTGTGATACAAATTATAACTTAATAAACAATCAAAAAAACACCATATTAATAACCTGACCCAACAGGCTGTCAGTGGGGTTCAAAACCTCATTGTGAACATTGAAACAATGGCAGTGAGACCCAAACCAGGAGGAAGACTCCAGCAAATTGTAACAGACATGCAGCAGCAAGGAATGGCACACCCAGAATGAAGTACCATTCTACAAGTTTCAGGTAGTTATCCCGTTTTTTTATGTAACATATGCTAATAATAATAAAACAATAAATGTTGTTGTTTGATTACATAATCAGTGCAAATTAATATTATAATTTCAGGATGTCCCACTTTCGTATTGTGAAGCCACAGTGCTGGCAGAAAATGAGAGCATCTACATCAAATCTCTACAACTGCATGAGGGAGTAAAAGATACTGTGAATTCCACCATCATGCACCTTCAAAACAGATTTGGTAGGCTTTTAGGTAATAAGATTTTCTTTATTGGACATTCTGCAGTATCAAAAGTATTAAAATTATTAACATTAATTTTTTAATTGTTTGTGCTGACAGGCACAGTGGGAAGCATGCATGAAACACCTACTGCCAAGCACCTACAGCAGTGAAATGCTTCAACATCTTTAATCATGACTCCTGGCCAACTGAGAAAGAGAAACTCTTGGACTACGGTGCAGAAGAGCTTGATTTTCTGCTAAAGCATTTCTCTCCTGTCCTAGAAAGGTAACTTCTATGGAGCTGAGCCAATCTCTTAAGAGTAGCCTTGATCGGCTTGTGTTAGCCACAGTGTTAACTGTCTCTCATTTTATTTTTAGGAATGGATGTGAACAAGATCTAGCTAAAGAGGAGTTTCAGGCACTGAAAACAATGATCACAGTCTCTTTCATGGATAAGAGCTACCTCGGACTGTGGGACATCATGTTGTCTAAGGAACCATACTGCTCTGACTACAGTATTTACATTATTTTTTTTATAATAATCATAATAGAATTTTGTTTAATCAGGTCCTGAATTTCGGTGCGGGATTGCGCATAGGCTATATCGCATAGTTTTACTCATTCCCGCAGCTTTTGACTTTAAAATGATGGATATTCACACATTTATTCAATAGCCTATAGCATGTAGGTTTGATGAGTAAATAATCAAACCTACAGACTGAGTCCAGTCCACACAGATTGATCAAATCAGTCATTTGAAAACAGCGTGAGTGATTCAGCTGTACGCGTCTTCTCTCTTTGACTTTCTCTTCAAACGGCTTCACATCGGCGCATCTACTTTCACTCGCATTTCGAGACAGTTGACAGAATTGTCACTTGCTTAATCGGGTCATTGTTGCA